CCACCGCGGGGTGGGGGGCGCCCTGGCGGCGCTCGCGCCCTGCCCTCCAGACGCCCCGACTGCCCCGCCCTCCCCTTGCGGGTCAGGGCATCTGTCGCCAGCCGCGCCGCGACACACCAGGACCTCTGGCCCAGCCAGCGCAGGCGTGGGGTCTGCGGCACAAGAGCACAGTATGGACACCAGTGCCACCCCCTGCCGCCGCTCCGGGACTTTAAAGAGAGAGTAAGCGGCCTCCCTGGGCAGCCCCCGGTGTCTCCCGCTGGGCTGGAAGCGCCCTTTTCCACATCACACGGGAGCTGCTTCCCACGGGGACGTCATTCCCGCTTGTGTGTGCCTCAGCTAGTCCTTTCTCGCCAAACAGGAGCGGGACACACCACGCGTGTGCCTGCCAGACTCGCTGTGGGAAGAACTCATGTCCGGCTGCCCGGAAGCCCTGTGAGGCTGCAGCCTGGTCAGTACTCAGAGCGGACCACACAGCTGGGCCTTCTGTGCCCTCTCTTGCCTCAGTTTCCCCAGCCAGCCCGAAGGTGCTGAGGGACCGAGCCGTGCCTATCCTTATCCCGCATGCAGCGACTGAGACGCTCAGTGAAGAGTGCTGGCTTGATGAGTGCATCTGGTCACTTCCAGTCCTCCTGTAGAGTAGATTTTAGCACTGCCTCGGCGTATCAGCAGAGTAAAGCAGGGCTGTGTGGAACCCTGATTCAGGGAGGTTCCCTGCTCACACGTTAGTCAGGCTCCCCAAGGTGCACTCTGTGCAAGCCTCGTTCTGTGGGAGCTGAACAGGTGCTAGGCGGAAAAAGTGCCTGGGGCTCAAATTAATTTGGAAGATACCAGGTGAGGCCAATGTAAACAGTTTTGGGGCTGCAGGACTTCTCAGTGCCTTTAACCAACTGATGTGCACCGGGGATCTCCAAGGCGGGAAGGCAGACGGGCTGTGGTTGTCCCTAGGGCTGTTTGTTCCTCAGTGGGAGGTCTTGGGGCACTACTATTCTAAACAACAGTGTATTTGGGGAACCGAGGGAAACGCTGAACTAGAACTGTAGAAACCACAGAGCTCTCTGGTCTCTCCACACAGGGCTACACCCTGCAGTGCCAAGGAGAGGCTCGAGGGGTTTGGGGGAGTCAGGGAGGGGCCTTACCCTCCTGCGCTGTGTATTCGCTGTCGATGATCCGGGCCAAGCCAAAGTCAGCAATTTTGCAGCACAAGGTCTCAGACACCAGGATGTTTGCCGCCCTCAGGTCGCGGTGGATGGAATTCATGCGCTCAATGTACGCCATCCCTTCTGCGATCTGCAGGAACGGGCCGACGTGAAAGATCCTGGCCTCCACACCTGGATCCAGCCCACCCTGCATCCCCGCACGGCCCCCTGTGGGGAGGAAGGACCTGCCCCCTCACCCACCACCCGGTTCTAAAGCCTGCCTCGCCCTCCGGCGAGGCTCAGGGCAAGGAAGGCGGGCGGGAGTTGGGGTTGGCTTTTAGGGGGCGCACGGGGTAGGGGGTTTCTGCTGCCGGAGACGGCGCTGATTCTCGAGGGGGCCGCAGAAAGGTGGCTTCAGCTGCCCAACTCAGTGAGCCTCAGCCCTTCAGATGCCCAGAACGGCAGAGACGCTGTCCTCAGAGAGCAGGGACCGCCCAGGCCCCTCGCCCGGCCCGTTCCCTCCTGCCTCGTGCCTGTCTCCAGGTGTCTGTGGGAAGGCCGGATGGCTGAACACAGGCAGGGGGAAGGAAGGCACTTGAGAGGCGGGGAGAGGGCGGGAGGGAGGGGGGGTGCCCCTCTCCGGCAGGCTGTGCTCGGAGTCCTCGGTGGAGGTGGCTGCCCTCCAGCGAGTGGCTTAAACTCCCCAGGGGTCTTAGTCCTGACCTGGAGCACAAGGGACATGATCTCCGGGTCAGGGGCTGAGCGAGTGTTCAAGGCAGTGACTTGTGGCCCAAGACCTCACCCAGCACCCAGCAGACAATAGGGAGCGTCAGCAGAATCCCGACAGACAGAGGCCACCGAGGAAGCTCTCTGTGCCCGGGACCACCAGCCTGGGCCAGGTCTTGCTGCCCTGGTGCCGTTTTGCTGAGGAAATGAACTAGGGCTTTATCCGCCCAGTTGTTGGATGGAGAAACTGAGGCAGAGAACAGAGAGCCAGTTTACCTCCTCAGCCCTGCCCCTGCAAGAAGCCGGCACTGGGATAGATCCCACTTCTAATGCTTCCGATCACGTGGTGTGCTCATGAATCGATCTAGTCATCCATGCATCCATTCCCTTGCTAAATCGTTCCACCATGACGCATTCGGGTGGAACGGTGGCGAATGTAAACCCGAATGCTGAATATATCTGTGCAGCATCGAACAGCCCATATTGAGGAACAGTGCTAGACATACAACAATGAAGCAGCCGAGGGGGGGCCAGATCTGCTTTCGGGGACAAGACGCTCCCCACACAATGCTACCAGGAACACAGGTGCAGGGTCTCGTCCGGGGAAACCTCACAGAAATGACATTTGACTTGGGTCTTGGCGGCGGATGAGGGTTCTCCGGGTGGGAAGGGTCAGAGGTGGTCAGAGGAGACAGAGGCGTGGCAGGGACCCCGTGTGGCTGCAGGCGGGAGGGGCTCATGGGGTGGCCAGCGCTGGCCTTGGAGGGAGGGCCCTGGGGGCTCTGATACCTCCCAGGGAGCAGGGAAGGAAGATCTCAGAGGGCGCCGTGTGTGCGTGTGCGCGCGCGCACGGCCGGGCGTTCATGTGATCACGATGTGGCTGGAAGCTGCTTGTCCGGGAGGTCCTGACTTTCTGGGCTCCTAACTCTCCCTCTGCGAGCACATCTAGGAATTCAACTCAGAATTCACCTCCTCTGCCCCGGGGGGATCCAAGATTTCCCAAGAGGTTGTCGTGGGTGGGATTGAATTAGGACACAGAGCAGGGGGGAGGAAAAGGAAGGCAAAACAAGGAGAGGGCAGGCCTCTCGCTGTCATGTGCTGTGAACCCGGTCCCCTGCGCTCATTTTCCAAAGCTGCCTCACCAGCCCCCGGACTGTCTAAGCTCCTCTCAGGGGAGAGCAGGCACCAGACGTCTGCTCCTGCGGTGAGGCTGAGAGCAGGGCCGGTGGACGAGGTGGGGCGGGCTGGCGTGGGCTGGTGTGGGGGCCTCCTCTCTGTGGTCGAGTGTGAGTGTGTGTGTGTGTGTGTGTGTGTGTGCGCGCGCGCGCGCGCGCGCACGCCCGCCCACCTCACAGGCTCACCATAGGCCAGAGCTTTTCTGCCGAGAGTTCCAGTTTTAGCAATGCCCCCCTGCCACGGCCACTAGTGTGCTTCCTGCCACTTAGGTCCTCAGGGAGGTCCCCAGGGAGGAAGGAGCCCTCCTCTCCACGTTGCTCTTCACCCCCACAGAGTCTGGAAAGTGCTGCATGTGAACCCAAGGGACAGTAGGGGCCCATCTGCCCAGGACAACGGAGGAGGCCCAGCCCTTGCAAACCCTTGACGGCGGGAGCGGGGAGTCCCCAAGGGCTCGGAGGCGCGGCGTCCTGGTGCTGGGTGTGGCTCGTGCCTGCCCCTCTGCCTGGGCCATCCCGGAGCCGCAGGAGGACTTGGCTCCCGGGATGCGATCAGCGTTTTCAGACGCACGTCCTACAGAAAGTGTCTGTGGGTGCCGCCAAGGAAGGGATGACTCTGGTGACAGGACACGCTTGCCTGGCCTGTTACGCGGAGCCCTGGAGAACTCTGTGGGTCTCCCGCATTGTCTGTTTGCCCGTCTCTCTTCTGACTAGAACTCTCATCTCATCGTGGCTGCCCAGGATGGAGACTTACATTCCCCAGGCTCCCTTGTGGCTGCCTGTGGCAGGAGACACAGTGGCCCGGGGATGCAGGGAGTGACCTCAGGGATGGGTGTCTCGAGGGAGAAAGGTGGGCTGGGGACCCCCTGACTTCCGCCGGCTCAAAAGAGGACAGGGTGGCCAAGCATGAACAGCCATCCATCTTGGAAAATCGGGTACCCAAGAGGCGGTCACCCCTGCCCGGACTGCCTGCCTTTGGATGGGTACACATCTTAGCCACCATGACTTTGGGTTTTCTGCTCTTCCCATTTCTACCTAAATCTAACTGATACGACCTCTAAATAGTAGATCCGGTTAAGTTGCAGGACAGGGAGGACAGGGCATGGGTAAGAGGAGGGCATCCTGGCTCCCAGGCCCCCCTGCCCTTGGGATGCCACCAACCTGGGCCGACATGTCAATCAGTCTTGGGAGGGACAATCTGCTACCTTCATCCGTCTTCAAGAAATCCAGCAAGCATCCTAAGAAAAGAGAAGCCGCAGCTGCACTTCTGCAAAGTGATCCAACCCTGGTGGTGCCAGCCTCTCCTGGGCGTAGGGGTGTGAGCCACCCCCCACCAGGGAACCGGAAGGGGGTGTTTGCTCTCTCAGATCTCTTGATGCTCCAGGAAGGACCTAGCTACCGCTGCTGGGTGCCTCAAACTTTGCAGAAATGCCAGTCTCCGCACCTGCGGCAGCTAATATATACCCCGGCTGCCCAGAAGAAGTTAGGTGTCAGCCAAGTTCAGGGATCTGAGGTCCCACAGCCGGGAGCTGGGAGTAGAACCCCATTGCTGACTCCAAGATTGGTGCCCTTTCCTGACATGACGTCCCCACGTGTCACCTTGCCCCTTCAATTCTCGACAGACACATTCTGCCCCTGAGACCTGGCGTCAGTCAGAAAACGCCAGAATGGAGAGAAACGTCCCCCAGAATTTGGTGCAGGGACTAATGTCGCTCCAGAGAGCTAGAGGGGTCACCCGAGGTGCAGCTCGGTCTCCAACACCAGCCCGTTGGATGACAGTTGGTCTTGTTGAGTGCTATTTGTTTGTTTGTTTTTTGAGTCACGGTCTCACTCTGCTGCCCAGGCTGGAGTGCAGTTGGTACCATCATGGTTCACCGCAGGCTTGACCGCCTGGGCTCCGGCGATCCTTCCGCCTCAGCCTGCCGAGTAGCCGGAATTACAGGCACGCGCTACCACGCCCGGCTGACTTTTTGATTTATTGTAGAGATGAGGTCTCGCTGCCCAGGCGGGTCTTGATCCCGCGGGCTCAGGCCATCCACTCACCTCAGCCTCCCAAAGGCGCGGGATGACAGGCTGAGCCACCGAGCCTGGCTCGTTAAGGCGCTTTCTTAGCACCGTTGGGTTAAGGCCCACAGGAGCACTGTGGGGTCAGGGTCACAGGAGGAGCGAGAAGGTTTGCAGTCCCACGAGAACTTGGCCACACGGCTGGCCTCAGAGGTGGGCGGGCTCAACCTCCCTGGCCATCCGTGTGAAATGTCCCCACCACGGTGAAAGGCCCCGTGGCTGGAGTGAGAGCCATCTCTGGACACCCGGGCCCCGGCTCCATTGACTCTGCCGTGCTTTGTCC